TAAGTGTAACTGATTAGAACGTCCTGAATGCGGATGCTTTTGCACACCCCTGCCCCCTCCCCCGCTTCCCCTCCGACGAGACCTGCCCCAGCCAGAGTACCTCCTGATAGTCCGGCATTTCTGATAATCAGGCACCACCTGGGTCTCAAGGGTGCCGGATTATCGGAAGTCTACTGTACATATGAAACAATGAGTTGTTAGTGTCAGCAATTCTCATAATGGGCAGATACAACTGGCCTCCTTTTTGGCCATATCAGCAACCAGGCAAAGGAACCAAAGGACCCAGTAACTGAATTGTTCTCAAACTTTCAGAAGTGGTATCTCATGGTCTGAGTTGAGACTAGTGAATCAAGATAGGAGAGTTTGCATAAGCAGTGCCTCCACTGCCTGGTGGATAAGTACAAGCCCTTTTGTATCCAGGGCTTTCATACTGACAGCCTACGAGAACAATAAATTCAATGACATGTTTAAATAACATTCATTATTCTTTGCCACACTCCTGATCAGAAGGCAGACTAAAGTTATGAATTAATATATTTTGGTTTGATAGAAATCTGAAATGTTACAAAAATGCCAAAGCAGCATTTTATTTTGTGCTATGTTTTTCTTTCAGAATAGATTTTAATCCTCACAGATTGCCTTTGACTTCTACAAAAGGAGGACAGGACTCTACATGCCACATATGTAATCAGAAGTAGCTGTGCAAAGGCTTACACTGAAGTATTCTGTACCTGCAGGTTTAACAAAATCGCACCAGTTCTCATGGCCTCACTGAGTTCAAGACTGTACATCAGCTGGGGAAAGCGGGGAGGGCTCTGATTGTTTGGAGGAAGTACCTCAATGTAAACAGTAGTGATGGAGCTCCTGCAACGACAGAAAAAGAACAGAAACCAGGTCAAAATCAACAGTATGGCAACATAACCTACAATTTCGATATCTGTAGATTGTCCTCCCTATTCTGTAGATCACACAACTTCTCTCTCCTCCTCCGAGGCACTCCTCTTTCTGCACTGTCTCAGAAGTGACTTGCATTCCCATCTCAAGATAACAACATTTTAAATATTTTAAAAGGAACTAACTTGGTAAAAGTTTTGCAAAATTGACCCTCCCCACCAAACCCATAAGTCATATGTCTTTTCTGACACTATCATCTTCTGATACTGTAACGCATGCTCCACCCTTGGGGGAAAATTGATGAAAGTCAGCACTGTCTCTTGTGGGAAAGAAGACAGGAATGGTTGACAGAGCTCCCTTTTTGTTTGCTTAAAACTGTGTCAAGTCTTTGGTACGTTCAAGAGGATGTAGTCATCAGAGAAGCAGGGAAACAAAGTAATTGAGAAAGAACTGAGGATGAGCTACGTATGGCAAAGTTCTCAAAAGAGTACAGAATAGAGCAGTAAGGGTATGTCTACACTGCCACCCTAGTTCGAACTAGGGCGGCTAATGTAGGCATTCGAAGTTGCAAATGAAGCCCGGGATTTAAATATCCCGGGCTCATTTGCATCTTGCCGGGCGCCGCCATTTTTAAATTCCGTTAGTGCGGACTCTGTGCCCGTGGCTACATGCGGCACGGAGTAGGTAGTTCGAATTAGGCTCTCTAATTCTAACTACCGTTACTTCTCGTGGAACGAGCTCCCTAAGAGCTCAACTTCCCTACAATTCATGCCTCTAGGAAAGTTTATTTTGTCCTAACACTGGCTAAAAGAGATAGTGTCATCGGCCTGGGAATCAAGGTGAGTACAAAAAATAACATAGTTAGCACATTGAGGCTACATCTAGACTACATCCCTCTGTCGGCAGAGGGATGTAAATAAAGCACTTCAAAAGTGCAAATGAAGCTGGGATTTAAATATCCCGCACTTTATTTGCATAATCATGTAATGGCACTGTTTTGAAAAAGCACTATTTCAAAATTGAAACCGCAGTCTAGATGCAGTTCTTTTGAAAAGAGGGTGCTTTTTTGAAAGAGCGCCATTACGTGATTATGCAAATGAAGCACAGGATTTTTAAATCCTGGCTTCATTTGCACTTTTGAAGTGCTTCATTTATATCTCTCTGCAGACAGGGGATGTAGTTTAGACACACCCTGACTGATCATTGCAGAGATAAAAAGACAGAAGCTACTGATTTAAATACATATGTAAAAAGGAAACATTTTCTTCTACCATGAGAGAAAGGTTGGGAGATATGGTGGATGGCAAATATTTTTCAATTCTGTATGTTTCAGCAGAGTTCTGGCAGAAAAACAGTTCATATGTTCATGCACATTCAACCTACCACTTTTAGTTGAGAAGTTTGGGGTGTGTTCACCACCTGAGGTGTTTCATAAAAAACACTTTTTGACAGACTAGAGGGAGCTACAGTTGACACAGATGATGTTTTGATCAGGGGAAAATAACAGAAAAGTGTGACCAGAGGCTTTTGAACAACTCTGGAAAGAGCAAAAGGTGCTGCGTTAAAGCTGAACACACATAACTATAACTACCATATAATGCAAATATACCCATGGGGGAACTCAATACTGGTCCCAGATGAGGGATTTTGCCAGACCAGGGGAGGTCATTTCTGCCTCCACACAATGCACTGCACTGGGCTCCCACTTCCCCCCTACTCTTTGCAGTGCTCCAGGCTCCCAGCCCCTCATGACCCATGCAGCATGCCAGGACTTTCTGATCCTGGAACACACGTGGTCCAGACCAGAGAGTCCCAGTTTACAGAGGTGTAACCTGTACCTCAGATGTGCAGGCAGAGCACAGTAAGACAGAGGCCATATTCAGATAAGGAACAGATAAAGAAAAAATACAAAGATCCATTGGAATGGTGAACTGGGAAATTTGTGCCTTTCCTAGCTGTCCAAACCAGCAACCTGAGAGCACCACTATGTAAAATTGTCCAATGAACATGAGACGCAAATCTTAATACAATGTTTGAAAAAATGAAGGAGTTAACTAAAGCAGTCCCAGTTCTTACCATGACAGGAAGAGTAAAACTAAGTTGGATATGGATGCCTCTAAGAAGGGTATTAATACATTTTTTATACAGCAGAATGGTCAACATTGGACACCAGTAGCTTGTGTGTCAATGGCATTATCAAAATCAGCAAAATCTGATATATGCTGAAATAAAGGAGGAGGCTTTTACTTCAGTCCTTGGGTATAAAATACTTCAAGTCTATTTTGATCCATGGCCAAGGAAGCTGTAGGATAAATGACCCAAATTCAGCCGTTAGGGCGTATTAGTGGATGATGTTTGTGGTTTTGTGTGTTTGCATATAGATTATTAAAAACTTAACAGTGTAACCAAATGGTTCCTGTCTATGCAGTATTCTTCTGTCTTTGAAGTGTATTCCAAATAATCTTAGAATGGTAGAAGACAAATACCTTGTATTAAATCTGTATAACCAATTACCAGTGATGCCAGGGAAATAGGTCTATTTGGAAGTCTCTAAGATTGCCTATTGTTCACCCAGGAAAACCATTGGATCCTGATTCTTTTTATTACAGATCTGCTTGATGATCAGTGAAAGCTTTAAGCCATAGATTGGGATCTCCAAGTCTGCTTGTATTCAACCTGAAACAAGCACATTGGACTGTAACCTGTGGACTAACTCATTAGGAACTCTTTGCTTGTACAAAGCTCAGCAACTCTTACTATGAATGTGGAAGGAACTTAGAGAGGTCATCAAGTTCAGTCCCCTGCACTCCTGGCAGAACCAAGCACCAATTAGACTATCCCAAACAGGTGTTTGTCTAATTTACTTAAAAATCGCCTATGAAGGAGACTGCAAAACCTTCCTAGGCAATTTATTCCAGTGCTTACCACTCTGACAGGAAGTTTTTCCTAATGTCCAATCTAAACCTCTCTTGCTGCAACTTAGGCCCATTGCTTCTTTTCTTATTATCAAAGGCTAAGGAGAATAAATTTTACTCCTCCTCCTAGTAATCTTTTAGGGTATGTCGACACTACCACCCTAGTTCGAACTAGGGTGGTTAATGTAGTCATACGAACTTGCAAATGAAGCCTGGGATTTGAATTTCCCGGGCTTCATTTGCATGTTGCTGGGCTCCGCCATTTTAAAATGTCCACTAGTGCGGACTCCATGCCCGCGGCTACACACGGCATGAACTAGATAGTTCGGACTAGGCTTCCTATTCCGAACTATCTGTACACCTCGTGGAACAATCTAGTTCGTGCCGCGTGTAGCCACGGGCACGGAGTCCGCACTAGCGGACATTTAAAAATGGCGGCGCCCGGCAACATGCAAATGAAGCCCGGGAAATTCAAATCCCAGGCTTCATTTGCAAGTTTGTGTGACTACATTAACTACCCTAGTTTGAACTAGGGTGGTATTGTAGACATACCCTTAGATACTTGAAAGCTCTTGTCATGGTATCTCTCAGTCTTCTCTTTTCCAAACTAAACAAAACAAATTCCTTCAATCTTCCCTCATAGGTCATGTTTTCTAGACCATTAATCATTGCTGTTGCTCTTCTCTGCACTTTTCCCAATTTATCCACATCTTTCCTAATGTGACATGCCAGAATTGCATGCTGTACTCTAGCTGAGTCCTGATCATCACAGGGTAGAGTGAAAGAATTACTTCTCATGTCTTGCTTACAATACTCCTGAGAAAACATCCCAAAAGGATGTTTACTTTTTTTGCAACAGCCTCACACTAACAACTCTCATTGGGTATGTCTAACGGACGTTAGTTCGAACTAACTTGCTGTTGCTCTTCTCTGCACTTTTCCCAATTTATCCACATCTTTCCTAATGTGACATGCCAGAATTGCATGCTGTACTCTAGCTGAGTCCTGATCATCACAGGGTAGAGTGAAAGAATTACTTCTCATGTCTTGCTTACAATACTCCTGAGAAAACATCCCAAAAGGATGTTTACTTTTTTTGCAACAGCCTCACACTATTGATTCATATTTAGCTTGTGGTCCACTATAATCCCTAGATCCCTTTCTGTCGTACTCCTTCCTAGACAGTCGCTTCCCATTCTGTATGTGTGAAACTGATTGTTCCTTTCTAAGTGGACCACTTTGCATTTGTCCATATTAAACTTCATCCTGTTTACCTCAGACCATTTCTCCAATTTGTCCAGATCATTTTGAATTATGACCCTATCCTCCAAAGCAGTTGCAACCCCTCTCAACTTGGAATCATCTGCAAACTTAACAAGTGTACTCTTTATGCCGATATCTAAATCCTTGATGAAGATATTGAACAGAGCCGGTCCCAAAACAGACCCCCTGCGGAACCCCACTTGTTATACCTTTCCAGCAGGATTGTGAACCATTCATAACTACTCTCTATAGTTATTGCACAAAACTTCTTGTGCAAAAGCGTGTCCAGACCTCAAAGCACATTGCAAAAGCGATGTGCTTTTGCACAAGAGAGCGTCCACACTTCGTGGACACTCTTGCATAAGAAAGCTCTGATGGCCATTCACAGAATGGCCATCAGAGCACCTGTGCTTTTTCTGATAGGGGTTTCTTATGCAAAACCCCCTCTGGAGTGTCTACACATGCCTTTTTGCACAAGAGCTGTAGCACAAAAAGGAATTATTCCTCGTGGGGAGAGGAATACCTCTACCGGCAAAAGCCGTCTGTCCATTTTTTTGTGCAAAAACACGCTGGAGGTATGGACGCTCTGCCAGTTTTTGCGCAAAAATCTTGTAGTGTAGACATAGCCAGAGAGCAATTTTAACGGTCCACAGTCATGCTGGAAGGGCATAACAAGTGGGGTTCCGCAGGGGGTCTGTTTTGGGACTGGTTCTGTTCAATATCTTCATGCACGATTTAGATATCGGCAGAGAGAGGACGCTTATTACGTTTGCAGAGGATCTCAAACTGGGA